GTTTTCAGGATTACTGGTTATCTATGTAGGGATCATCTTTGTAAGTTTTCATCTCAAGTTGATTCAGCTATATTATTAAATGATACGTTATATTTCACAAGTTTCGTGTGGTAATTTTTAGAGGCGACTTAATTACTCGTTACAACATCTTATTTTATTGTATGCAACCTAGTAAAATTATTGTATTAATTTTTGTGACAATTGTTATGGTATTTAGTTACTTTTCCAAAGTGTTGACTGCATTGGGATCTGGTTTACAATAAATTGTTTTCTTTATCTTGTAATGACGTAATGTATCCAACGCCTATTTCAGTAATCTATTAATCATATTTTATCATATATGTATTTTTGTTAAGTTTCGCGTGAAAATGCCAAATCACAATTACACGACACCTTTTGAATGGTTAAAAGTTTATTTCGCACTATGTTATTTGAATAGAAGTTTGATGGGGAAAAAATGCTTTCAATTCTGGTATTAAGGAATTCTTCAATGTATCAATTAATAATGTGTATTTTTATTTTCTCCTCATGCAAGCAGACCAATTTACTCGGTACCATTGTTACTGCTGAACCTGGTGAGTTTGTGTATTTAAACATTGATAAGAAAAGTATAATCAATGATTTCCATATTCGCATGACATATTTTAAAGACTTAAATAGCTTTAAGAAAACCAGGCCATTTCGAGTACCACCTTCCCCGTTCCCGATACATTCCTTGCCTGGTTTACCAAAATACACCCATTTATACAACAAAATATCGTTTCCCTTAATACTTAACATGAGTAAAAAGTTGTTCAGATTTCATGATTCTTTAATATACATCCGCGTTTCAAAGTGTCTGTATCCCACTTAAAGTGGCTAAAACGTGCATTTTTTTAAATGTATAAGTGTAACTTAGGGACTAAAGTAAAAACGTATTTTTAAACAAAATACAACCAAAATACAATACTCATCAGCAATTAATATATGATTTCGCAAATTACAATGTTGTAGAATAAATTTCATTTTAAACTGCATGTGCATAAAATAACAATATATGCATTTTACACACAGAGTGTACTGGACTCGGTCAATGGACTCGGTGGTTCGATTACGATAACCCTGATGGTTTGGGCGATTACGAAAAAAAATCCTCATTTGTAAAACACCTAGGAAATTATATGTGTTCTAATCCTACTATTATACAAGCGCGAACCAAAGATGGCATTCCGGCAGAAGATACTGGTGAAATATTCATATACTATTCGCCTGAAGTAGGATTTGTTTGCCGAATAGAAGATCAACCAGATAACGAATGTCTTGACTATGAAGTCAGATTCTGCTGCCCAGGTAATTATTGAAAATACGATAAAAGCGAAATATGAATTTAACTAATCGTATATAAAGCCCATTTTATAAAGTTCCTTCCAGTTATTTTTAACATTACCAAATTTTGAATTTGAACGCATAACATGTGAACTATAACTACGAATTTAGCCGATACGCCCGATCACGTTTCTGTTGTATATTAACGTATTTTCACCTACGATTTGTAAGGGACTAACAAATCCCGGGGTCATGGGATAAAACTTACCCTATGTCTTCGGTTGTGTTTGATTAATCTATTAAACGTTTATTTATTTTTTTGTTTAACTATATCATACTGTAAGCCTAACATAACAACCAACTATAGGTTTAAAGAAGGTTAACCAGATTTAATTTAAGTATATCCTAAAACAGAAATGATTATATATTCTTTGATATAGAGATAAAAAAACAACCATTTACCATTCTTTTTAACTTTGGTCGTTGTATCCATTACTTGATCTTGGTCAAAATAGATGTCGATTTCACCATTCTCATGGGAGAATAATAAGAACATTTACAACGGATGAGTGTTAAAAATATCTACTTCATAACTTAACCGTATACGAACAACAAAGAATGCACTATTATATTTTGCATAAACGTAGTAGCATGATAATTGATGTAATACATAATAAAATGTGGTTGTTATTGCCGTGTCCTTTAAGAAATTACAGTCAGAACAGGCATTTTTCATTTTCAATAATAACATTATATTATGTTCACTTTTATAGATGGTAAGTTGACACAATAAGGGTGCCTTGAAACACATCAAGACAGACGTTCTATACCAGCTACAATGAAAAAGCAAGACAATTAAAATCATCATATCTTCATAATTATTACACTTTCTGTATCATCAACAATCTTTTCAACTGTCAACCCAATATCTCAACATATACGCACTAAATCTGAGCAGTATTGTTTGTCATTATGTAACAAATAAAGTAGAATGTGCAATAATTGTTGTTTTTATTTGATGAAAAAGACGAAGAATGTATGCAATGTATGCAATATCGCGCAGTTAGCGGTGATCATCATATTCTTCTATTCAACAGCAGACCTAATTTTCTTTTTCGTTGGTACATGTGCTAGGGTAAGAAGATTAGTTCACTGAACAAATGAATTGTGCTGAGTTTAATGCATTGACAGACATGACACTGTACGTTTAATGCAACACTCCAACTGCTATAATGGTGAATCAGAATTAACCACAGTGAACTATGTGGACCTGAAAATATCGCAGAACAATCTCGCAAAGCTCTATTTTTACGAACGGGAATACCATACCATATTGCCCGGCCGCTAAATATCCCCGCACTCCATAATGCAACACTGAAGGTCAAACCAAGGCACACATTCAAATAACTAGGTTCAAAAATTGTACTGTGCAGTTTCACCTTCGCATTGATGTTTTTATAAAAGAAAAAAATACAGTTCATTCATTTAACATGATTGTTCTATTGTCGACACAGTTCATGCGAACATATTAGTGATATAATATTATATCTTGATGATGTAATATGCGCAAACCCAAACAACTTTTCGATTACAATCGCGGCACTCATGGTTGGGAGTTGCGAATGTCCAAAAAGTAACTCACTCAAGTCCGTTTCGTACATTCTGTTATCCTGAAAAATAACAATCGATCAATTATTAAATTTAATATAAGTTGTGACTCGATAATTTTCAGGATGCTGTTAAAAAACCTCTGGATTGACTCTTGTTGTCTGATTTTGTTTACTGCGGTATACTAAGGTCAATTGATATCGACAAATCGTAGCGTACCCATGTCAAAATAGACACGAACGTTTGTGAAGTCGATATGCAATGACTGGAATAAAATTATCAGACTTAAACATGCCGGCACAAAACTAGCAATTATGTTTTATTTTATCGTAAAATGCTCTAATTATTTCGATTTAAAACTGCTAATTTACTGTTTTGTCGCAATATTTGTTTCTTTTTTTAAATAACAAATGTCAATCAGACACAGTTGTTTATGATGAACAAAATACTGTTATTTTGATATATTTTTGTCTCTTTATAGACAGTCGATATCTGTTTAGTAGCTCGTCGAAAGGGTGCGTTATTATATGCATATTTACCATACACGCGCTCCAAACGACGCTAAAATTATCCGTTGAATTGTCAGATTAGTGAACAATTTTGAATTGTATTTTTGTAATGAATATTAGTGTTGATCAGATACCTGAATATTGATGAAGCCCATTCGAGAGTACGTGCTCAACAATTATCTTACTTAACATAAAATGAATATAATTGGGCTCTTCTAATTAACTGTTTATTAGAACAAGAGTTGTGCCTAAAATGTTAATTTCGAACATTACATTATACCTATGACAACTTTCTGCATACGTAGATTTTGATGCTATATTATGCATGTAAGTAGACCGCAAAACGTATTTAAATCGACCCAATTGTTTTTATTAAGTTAAGTTCAGGAATAGCTCAGATGAAATAAGAAAGATAACTCCTCATATAACAAATTGGGTTAATTTATAATTCAGGTATATCGATAGACTACTTTCCACCAACATCCCTAAATTTAGTGAACGTACTACCATGTTATATCTAGCTGGTCTTAAAATAAGAAGACTACAGAAAATGTCTCATATTGGGCCTTGAATGTGGTTCACGTATCGGTTTACAAGTGTGAAGCAACACATTAGCGATACCACGCGACGTATCAAACGCACATACACATTAATCCGATTAGTAATGAAAACGTATTGTTTGATTTTAAAGACTAAGGAATCTATTCAGTTTCAGATCTGCTTGTATGTCCCCTGTCAAATTAACGTCAGAATCTCATTCAACCGTTCCAAAGGCATAATTAGGAGTAGTAGTATAATAATGAGATCAAAAACGTGATTAGAAAAACAGTGACTTTATGGGCATGCCATATTGTACTCTAAATTCTCAGTGTTTGAATCAACTGTCATGGCGCGTACATAACGTCACAATCCTAATACAATATGTTTACAAAAGCGATGATAGGGGGAGGCGCGGACCTAGTTTTTTTAAAAGTATGTTAAATTCCACCAAATTACACGTTAATACCTGTGATGCAATAGTAAAATAAAATTCGTCCAACATTTTGAATTAACAGGATACAAAAGTAGTTGTACCGAAAACAATATTTTCTAGTTCAACAATCAACTAAGAACATTTAAAGTATATATATTTCATTTTAATAATTCCTGGACTACATTTAATTACCTCTCATATAACATGTATTACGTGTATTACGAAGCAGACTAGTCGGCTCACCAAGCATCCACAACCGTCTCAACTGTGGAACTGGCTCACCATGATGTCATGGATGACTTTTTAACCAGCGCGGCAAGGCTCCGAGGTTAAAAACAACTCATATGATTGCACGACCATCCAAATGGTGATTATTACTTTCTATAGTTTTAATTTTTATCATGAGGATTGTTTATGTATAATTATATACATACGTTCCCCTTACTATCAGAACCCTTAATCATATATTGAATGTGTTCAATATACAATTAGCGCCTGCTATGTAATGCCAATGCATTGCGTTTCGAAAAAAAATAACAGACGTCAATCAGACTGTTTATAATGAAAAAATACTGGTAATTTTTGTTCTATTATTGTCTCGTTTGTGACAGTGCATATTAGTTATCAGTATCTCAATGAATGAGTACTTTATTATATTCATCTTCACTGTACACGCGACCCGGTTCTTGTCAACACGACTCATTGACAGCACAGATTATAATCGTGTAAATGTGTGAACGATTTTAAGTCGTTGATATAACAATTCATCACATTAGAACTGTACTTGTAAACATTCGTTTTGTTGATCACATACCAATATGATGCTAAAGCATATCCTATTCTATGAGTTTAAAACGCTATTGACAATGAATGTGCTTGTTAATTGGAATGAAAGAAATAAAAAACATTACGGGTCGGTTATAGAAATTAAAATCATGCTGAGAACATAGCAACGAGTAAAAGAGTGGTATGATTGCTAGTTAAAGAACTAGCCTGTTTCCTGTCTCTGTTTTAGTATACGTCGACCCGTGGTTAATAATTACTAGGAAAGTGCTCTGCTATAGTTGGAAACAGTACCCATTTACACAAGAGAATAACGTTTCCTGCACTATTTGAAAATGATACATTTTTTAAGCAGAAACACCATGGAAATCGAACTAACGATTTTCCGATTGATGAGTAGCGTGAATAAATGGTCAAACTACTGAATGAGCTAAGCAGATTGTCTGGGGTTGGAACAACACACATTTGACTATGAAATGTACATGCACCAGGTGCAATTATTGCTTACTTCGACTACGCTATTCAATGTTCTCTTCTTGCGATATGACCTGTCAAGATACTCGGTCAGTTCCGTTTATGTTGTTAATGCACCGAATCTATTTAACCACAACTACAATTGTTATATTTTTTTCCCAGAGCTCTCTGAATACCATCACAATTAAAATGATTTTTGTAATTATAGCTATTTACAATGAATACATTTCTTTTCACGTGTCATGGAAACGAATAATGCCAATCATAAAGGATTTATTTCATAAACATATGGATGACCGTAAATTGTTTCTCAGTTGTTTCTCTTTTCCATTGTCCACGCACGCAATCTTACAAAAACCTGGTATGTCAAAGACAATATAAGTACGGTGTGATGTTTAGTTCGAACATTTTGTTGTTGCTGACTAGTAGATAGACGTTCGCTTGAGTTCCTTGATCAGTGAGTAATAATTTCGTTCTTCCGTGTTCTGTATATCCGTCACATTAAATTTGATTTTGTTGTTGTGTTTCTTGTAGAAATTGTTTCTAATATTTCTTCGTTTCGCTGTAGATCGTTTTTATTGCCAGTAGAATATTTTTTTCCGCACTGGGGTGATCGCGAAATTTACACCACGATGTACAGTATAACCCCACAATTCGTTTTATTGACATGGTAGTGCGTAAACTGCAACTATCTTCAGTATTACGCAGCAGGTAATCACGGTACAACCTCGCACCCTATGGACAAGCAACATATTCATTTCTGCCTATACTACGTACCGTAAAAATTCGTTGACAACCTTGTCGATGTGACATATGCTACAATTGACGCATCCATATCATTTGTACGGGAGGAAGAATTGTTAATACAGATATCAGATCAGATATGCAGTATTCTGTATATACCAACAACTGTGTCCAGTCAAGCAAACAATCGTCGAAATGTGTATATTGCCAGAAAATAGATATGTAGGTCATAAATGAAACATGAGTATCCTAGCATTTATTGACACAAACATGACATTTGTGTTTTACAGCATAATTGATGTTTGTAGCAATATTCAGTGGTGCTGTTATATTCGCAGTTGATATATATACAAATACTATGATGAATAAGTTCAATTCACTAATGACGGATTCTTGTGATATTTATTGTTTTCTAAACAGTATGTCTAATTTCAAAATGAATAATTGATTTTGTTACTTATACATTTTTGTGTTTTTATTCCAGAATTTGACATCATGAATTTCGCTGGAGTACTTGTTATCTACGTAGCCATCATCTGTGTAAGTACCCGGATGTGACATGGTTCGACGATCTTATATTATATTACGATATGTAACATTTGTTTCTACAGATTGTTCTTTATAAAAAAATGAGAGTTATACCCGGAGTGTCCGTCAAATTTCCAATGTAGTGACACATTTACAAATTGTAATTCATTCTCATTGAGTTTATAATATAAACTAACTTTCCTATCTTAGTTGATGTCATTACTATAATGTTATAACGCGGTGCCGTTTACACTTTCAATTAAATGTTATTTAATGCTTAAGTTAATCATGTGTATTTCTGTATTTCTCCATATACAAGCAAACCCATTTACTGGGTACTTCTGCTCAAGATGGTGAGTTTATATAAACGCTGGGAAACGATTGTTTTTGTTTTTTAAAGCTATTTAAGTAATAAGGGAGAGTAATAAGTTTGAATACGATTGTTATATATAGGTGCAGTACATGTTTTATCAGAACCATCCTAATTGTGCAATGTGGTCACCCCTTTCTGAAGCCTTTTATTGGTAAATTACACAGCCCTGGATGTCTACTCAAAACAACAATAATAGTAATGTTCTATCTTCATGAGTATGTACACTTCTGTCCTCGAATTAATGTATTCCATCAGTAGTGATTTAATGTGTAATTACATTGTGTAACGCTTGCTTCGTTACCTCACACAGTATGTCCGGGTTGGTGGACTCGGTGGTTTGATTACGATGACCCAAGTGGTAAGGGCGATTATGAAAAAGCATCAATTTTTATAGCTCGTCTTGGAAACAATATGTGTTCTGCTCCTACTATTGTACAAGCGCGGACTGTAGATGATGGTGTTCCAGCAGAAGATACTGGTGAACTATTTTCAGAATATTCGCCTTCTGTTGGATTCGTTTGTTTACAGGCAGATCAACCAAATAAACAATGCCGTGACTATGAAGTCAGATTCTGCTGCCCAGGTAATAAAACGCAAAACAACAACAATCTAACATGATTTATCTAATTATATGTAAAGCCAGACCATTAATTGCTAGAATGGCCATAATTGAATAACCTGTAACATTATTTAGGTTTAGAATTGTGCCGGATTTTAAGGGTTTTTTTGCAAAGAAAGAAAAAAGAATTTATCGATTAATCAGAAGTTGTATGTTGCACCCTAACTCGGAGAACTTATTAATCATTCTTTTTTTATTTCTACAGCTAAGGGCTCTAAAGGTTAGACACGTAAAGCAGTTGCATGGGAACATATATTCACTATAATGGAATTTCATGAACTCCTTAGTTATATTGCACACCATATGTAAAAACATGCAACAAATAAAATAAGCTTCACCACGTGATAACGTTTGTTTTTGTTTGATGCGAGATGAGGTCAATATTGTATGTAATATAATATAAGCAATACCCCCCTCTCCCTCGCCAAAGTCGGGTATACCAGTAAATATTGCACAATTCACTCTCCATATTATATTATAAAAATAAAAAAATATTTTATTTAGCGTGAAAAATATTTTACATATCCACAGTGAATAGAACAACGTAAAGACGAAAAATGACATAACAAATAACAATAATATTTAGCATAATATTTGACGTTCAGTGGTACTTGACCGAAGTATGATTCGACCGAAGTTTGAGATATCACGGTACGCGGTCGTGTATCATGTGGTGACCGGCACGGCGATCTCAGACCCAGCATCTGACCTGGATACATCTTTGGTATAACCAAGGATTTTTTGACCAGTATGCCTGACAAATTTTGTTGTTGTATTGTGGTATGTTTGTTGCTGTAAGATCGGGTGCTCGTCCCGTTGTTGTGACAGAACACGTACATGGTATGCCTTGTCTCAACTCCCGCCTAATCAAGGACTGTGCAAGCTATCGCTCTAATACAGTGGTTGGTGTACACACGGGACTATTAAATCAACAGCTTTCAAAATTATTTTCATCATCTTGCCAAATATATTTATCCCTAGTGGAGTTGTCACAGTGTAAGGTCTGTTTATCGCAATTGAGAGGGCCACCCACAAAACACTGGACAGAGGGTTCTTTCACTGCTAGAATGGGGTAGAAAAGACAATAGTACTAGAAATGAAATACACATACACCAAAATATAAAGTTAAAGCCTTTGGCCTTCCAGACCTGTCAGTTACCTTTATGACAGTTATCACACGGCAATACACACCGTTTCTTCCCATGATTCCATGCGCACTTCTATATGCAGGGTTTGAGGTAATATAACAAAAACATAGAATAAAGGATGCTAAAAGGAATATTAAACTAACACATATCGTCGTCAAATACTGCGTTATCTCGTGGTCTTTATAAAAGAAGGCAATTTCCCGGTTGTTATTCATTTTGCCTGTTCCTTGTAGTTTTTTTTTTCGGATTTTGTTTGTCCTTCAATCCCCCAATCGCAAGTAGTTCGTCACCAGTTAAATTTACAAACCGTGTTTTCTTTGTTTGAGGTTCACAAACCATTTCAAAGTCACAACATGGAGGACCAGACATGTTTTACCAGCAAACACAGCGTTCTGGCGTTCGTTTAGGTTTCCGTGGCGAGTGAACACTAAAAACTTAGCTCCGTCAATATTGCAATATTGTGGTTGTATTAGTTTTCAGATGCTTTTAATTTGGTGGTTTTTCCAAAAGTTCCAAAACGATTTTTTCAACTATATTTCCTTAAAAAAATAATTACTACTGGCTTGATGAATTGCCGCATCACCTGTAGTCAATTCATGTTTCTGGGCCACTTTGTTTAGCGTAAGTGTGAATTATCAAACAATATACTCTTAATTGGATATGTATATTTTGTGTTTGGACCAATCAAGTCGACGGATTAACATCATCGATTTACTGGTATAATATAATATTCAGTACTTGTCATATACTTCAAGTCAACAGTATATCTTTTTCCCTTGTCTTAACTTGCATAAATGAAATTACCAATAAGGCAAATCGGTTATGTCATAAAAAATTAATTGTTTGATCAGGTAATGATTTGTTTCTGATGGGCCTGAAGCACCCTCTATCGACTGGAATGCATCAATATCGGGGCAAATCATCAGTCTATGTATTCCACGAAGGTATTTTAAAAGGCTAGCCTGGAGAGAAAAGTACTATGCTCTGGCCGCCTGCCATATAGCTAGCTACAAATCACACTCAATGAAAGTATTCGGATATTAATAACTTTATCGTCAATATGTAATTGTTTTGTGAACAGAATCAGTTGAATGTGGTTGACCGATGCAACAAAACAATAAATATTAACAAACAAATATCACTTTTAGTTAGACTCGTATAGAGTGAAAAGGGCATGTTTAATCTAAGAGCATCAAATTCGGGAATGTTGGATGACACAAATATACCGCTAGCACTACAGTCCCTGGGTCGACCAAGGAATAAACGGAAATGCACTATTATACGCAACACGCAGGTCATAAACCAAAGCTGAAACAATACATGTTATAACAAAAGGTTATTTAGCAATGTAATTTTAACATTACTACTACTATTAATGTAATCAGACGATACACTTCAGACGTACATCGTTCTGACATTGAACTTTACGTTTCTTTCTACGGCTTTAATGTCGTTCAATATCTGAACTATTACACTTCAACTAAGAGTCTGATATCGTTAATTAATGAATTGTCGGAACGTAGAGCATAGCACCGCATATCCTTACTTGGCAGCGGCCCAGAAACTGAATTACTACAGCGTCCGGTTCGGCGTTCTCTAGCAAAGTAATACGAATTTGGCCCTGAATGGTCGTTTTCCTCCTCTACGCTCAGGTGTCACGGGTAGTAGCAGGCTGTGTCTCTGTGTCTGCTGTGTTTGATCGTAGCCATTTTGAAACAAAATGACATTGTCTCGTTGTGATATTATTGTTCATCACTTTAGTTACTGTACCATATGTGCCTGTCGCATTCGGCGAAAATTACAATAATGTGTATATTTCTAGAAACATACACAGCACATTATAGTGTCCTAAGTCACTACTAATTAACTAATATCCGTGTACGATTGGTTATGTTTCATTGCCGTCAAATTATATCAAATGTATTGGTTCATATTCGTTTGTTTTTTTGTTTTGTTTTTATAATTCAATTTCAAATGTGCCTATGTATATATATTATCTCTAATAAATTGCTGTCACCCATCATGCATTTGTCGTGTTTGATGTAAAAGAATTATTTACGATATCCAGGTAATGTGTCTATTTTTGAAACAGGTGGATGAACATACATGTGACTTAGTTGTTTGTGATGAATAATATACTGGTATTTTTATTGATATTATTGGCTTTTGTGGTCAACATTTTCGTGTCTTGTTGATGTTTCTATTACCTACATACCGTCAGTAATAATGTCAGATATGCGGATAATGCCAGTTAATATAGCTCAGATGCGATATGACGCTTGCTTACTAAACTACAGTAACAGAAACATTTTGCTAACAATACACATTAACATATTCAAGTCAATTTTTATTTGTTATCGAAAGAACAAAAGGACAGATATAGGACTTTTACTAACAAATTATTACTCATATAACTTTGAATGCGCACAATGAATCCAAAACCTCTTTACATTATGGTTTTAATGTTGATCGTTATTAAAATAAATTATATAGACACGGAATTTGTCGAGCAAAGAAGACTAAGAAACATGAAATCGGCGATGCTTCAGCCATTTAACATTGGTTGCTATGTGGAAAAGGTGTTTTCATACCTGTTAATATCGTTTGGTTACATACCGTGAAAAATAGATTCTGGAGAATACTATTTACTATTCATGAAAAACTAATGTAAAAAAGCAGCCACAGAACGTACACATCTTCAAATGACAAAAGTCCAAGTGTGGAGTTACGAAAATAAACACACGATCATAACAATAAATAATATAAACAAAAGTGGTATAATTATAGGACACACCACGGGAAAGAAGGATGGTGTGAGGGCGAGCTGTTAGCTGCTTATACACTGGCCGATTTAATTAAATCGAAGTCTATCTTCTGTTGACACTGACAAATCACTGATTTATATATCTGCATTATGTCATCAACCCACTGACATTTTTAGCCCAGCTGTTTTGCAGTGGCAATTATTGGCACTATGTTCATGGCAACACGAGCAAATCGCACTGACGATTATATCAGCACGAACATTTACACAAAGAAAAGTAAATGCATCGATGGATGAAACTGTAATTCTACAAGGTATTACACTGAAGAAATTCTGCCGAGGTATATACTATAATGGGAAACGTCGGTAATAATGATAGAAATATAAAATGAAGCATAACTTAGATAAAATGAAATCAAGCATGAAATAATGATAAAAACAACATATACTCTCTTTATTATGTTCATCATAATAAAGTACATATGTGTTTAATACATGAATGTATTGAATACGCATGAATATATCCAAATATACAGTACACATTCTTGTGAATGATTGTTTAAATAGGGTCTACTTATTGATGGGCTCCATTATTTTAGGCAGATCAGACCGTGATGAGTTGCCATATTCCATTTCTATCAATATTGTAAACACGAAAACTCGACAATATATTGGTGAACTGTGGCTCTCGAATTTAGCTCAATTCAACTACAGTATACAATGTCCTTTTTATGTTATTTACATTTTACAATGTACTCTGCCTGACTATTTAGCGAACAATACTTGACTAAATGGCTGAAACGACTATTGTTAATTGCACCGGATATATATTGTCATAACTACAATTGATATGGTGTTCGCATTGTCACTATGCAAGTACCATTACATTTAAAGTAGCTGTTTTTAAAAATGTTGCTGTATCACTGAATACATTTTTCACATGTGATATGATAAATAATGCCAGTTGTAATGCATTTGTTTTTGTTAAACTTCTCTATTGTTTCATTTACCATTGTTAAACGTGCAAGCTGCTGGTATAGCTAAAAGAATATAAGTACGATACAATTTTCTGTTTGAGCATTCTGTCGTTGCTGACTGGTAGTAAAACGTTCGCCCAAGTTCCTAAACGAGTGAGTAATAATTTCTTCCATCATATTTTTCATGTACATCGCCTTACAGTTGCCAATGCTCTCTATACAGTTGTACATTGTGATGTTAGTGAAGTGTTGCTTGTGGAAAACGACATGTTTAATATTTGTTTTAAGTAGTCATAATTACCAGTGTATTGATTGAGACTGCGAATCGTATATATATGTATATAACCGTCAGTTTTTCAAGTCTTTTCAACATTTTAAGCTATAAATTACCGAATGAAAAATGTAATCAATATAACCTAACACACAACCTGCCCCTTCGAGTGTTTCAATTCATACCAATGTATATTTGATTGCGCTCCTGTGACTTGTTTGACTTACTAAGATTTGGGTTAATTTCAATACATTTCATTGTCTCATTTGGCCAACCGTTTACCAATGGCGGCCACTAATATGGTACGCATGGTGTGGCTTGCGGCCATCATGAAAGAATCAGAGGATCTGTGCCTAGCTAAACGATTGATTAATTTGATTTAACTAGATTATCAGCGTTGGTATAATTTGTTTGTTTTTTTAAATTGAAGGGATAATATGTGTTTATACTAAGTAGAGTCAGTAGGCGACGTTAATGATGAAATCAGCCTTAATGTGACTGGTAACAACAATGAAGCGAGCATTAAGTTAAATTATCAGTTTTATTCGAGGAATAGGAATCGTTTGCCATATTTAATGGTATAACCTGTTTATGCTAGACTACATATTATTAAAATCATTACTAGAAAACATGTTATAAACTGACCAACAATTTAAGTAAAAAAACAACACCATGGAAATTACTATACGTACTAATAAACTACTAATTCAACATGTTGCTAACTCATGAGAGCAGAATATCACCGCTTTCTTGTCGTTTATAATGTTTGCCAATGTACACCTATGTTGCATTGTAACACATGTCAATTTGAAAACCTAAATGGCACATAGTATATTGATTGGAAATCATTTGGGCTAAAATACGTTGCTGTTGATTTGCATTCATTTATATCTCAAAAGAATTATCTAACAATCTTGCAAAACAAAGATAAATAAAAATTGAATTACCTTTCGACTCGACATAATAGAAGACAAAGACTGTAAAGTTATAAATTTGAACAAACGACTAGCTTGGTAAGCTAAGATGATTACAATAACTGATTATACAATAACTGATGTATTTGCCCACTGTGATATAACGCTACCCCGTTATGTTGTAAATTGGATGCTCTGTCTGCATTATAGAAAGACAATCTAAGTGTGTATATATTTGTAAAATGTTAATATCAAAATGGATTGTCTAAATTAGGCATGTGTCTTATTTTCAAATTGGCTTTTATGCGCCACAACTCAGTTCTAACAAGCATATCGATACAGTATATATGGGGGTAATTTGAACAAAAACAATCATGGGATTAGTTCTAAATTTCCATGCGTTATTTGTAGAATATGTGGAAAGTTAACTGAATGTGGTTACTGTTCTTGTTTCATTGGGTGCTGTTAAATACTGACTTGTTTTTTGAGGAATCACGAATGGACTATCACACCATCTATCATTGTGAGAATATGTCACCTTGAATAAATCTTGATTTGAATTAATATAATAAACGCTTCCTGCAAATTGAAAACTTGAAAACGAGAGGAAAATGGGTTCGATAAAATAATTATTGTATTTACATCTATTACATAAAACAGGTGAATAATACTTTACACAGGATATCAATATTCGGAGCTGATATTATTCGTGCCAATTTGTGCATTTTCTTGTGTGGATTTACGTATCTCGTCAAGACAGTGCAGTTAAAATATATCTAAATTTTCAACATCGTCTATTTTCAATTTGGTCTGTTTTTATTTCCAGCTATCATTTATTTTCACTAGTTTGGTTTCAGATTATTTGCTTTTATATTTTTATGTATTTACTAGTTTGTTCATCTGATAAAAATATAATCGCGTTGAATAAATCAAAATTTGCAGTTGCGTGTGATGATATATTTAATTATTTTTAAATTCAAGTCTATCAGTCGTTTCTTTAAATAATATAATCAGTTGTTCTCGTTCCAGAGCTTTGCATCATGAAGTTAGCTGGATTACTGGTTATCTGTGCAGGAATGATCTTTGTAAGTTCTCATATGTCTTAATATATATATAATGATATGTTTTAGATGCAACTTACTTATTCTCACTAATAATTATTGTATTAATCATGTTTGTGAACATTTTCATTTTCAAAAGTGCTTATTTGCATAAGTTGCATTTCCTAAAATTATGTACACAAAAACTGTTTTAGATCAGGCGGAATGTTTCTTAGCTATAATAATTTCTTTTCCATATTGTATTCATTTTTTCCTGGGTTAACCTTCGTTAAAATGGCACCACGGATATTCATGCATAAATTCTTATAAATTAAGAATTCTAAATATCTTGTTTTTCAGCTTGTGCCACAAAAGTGAAATATACGTGGGGTCTTCTGCATCTGAATTGACAATATTGCAATGATTGCTACAGTAACAGAGTTACCAAATCTGTCCGTACTTTAAACATTTTGCATTCCGATGTCAAATTCTTTTCTATATAGGTAATCATAATCATAATCAACTTCGGCGCAATCGCAATTTGCATTAACTAAGGGGTATATTGTGACCGGTTATGCACCAATCAGCTTGGTGTACTAGAATATGATAGATGACAACAAATATTAGTTTAAAAAAGATTAAAAAAACTACACCTATATATATTAAAATGTGATTTACCCATAATAATATATTTTTATGTAAAACAGTTATCGCCCTCTTTGGTTGACATCATACCCGTTTAATCAAATGTATGTAAGATTTTTAAATTATCAAATTAAATTTATTTATGAAACTTGTGATCGATAGTTGATAAGAATTCTTCTAACTTAATTATATTGCTTGGAATCATTTTCTGTGAAACTTTCACAAAATATTACCACGTTATTTACACAAGTATGTTTAGAATTCTTTTTTGTAACAGTTTGTCAAAAAAGGTTTTACCAACGTACTTATTTATGTTAGTAATAGACATTTATAGTGGTATACTAGTTGGTAACCCACCATGGATACATTCCATGAATCGTTACAAATTGAAATATCACGACACTGCTTGAAATATATACTTCTATTATTCAAATAGACATTTTAGAAAGTCCAAACCATTTTCAGATACGATATTTTCAATTCTAGTAAATGGAAATTGTCGAATTCTATCTTCAATATATCAATTAATACTATTTTTATTTTCCCTTCACGCAAAAAGGCCAATTTACTTGGTACCATTGTTACTGCTGAAGCGGGTGAGTTTATGTATTTGAAAGAAAAAAAGTTTAACTTGTGGTTTCGGTATTCGCGTGAAAGCATTATATTTTTAAATATTTTCTTTGCTTTCCAAAAATGTTCTGGTCAAGGATTATCAATCTGGCCTACAAGTACAATTTCTTTCAACACTTAATATAATAAAAAATGGTTCAGTTTGTAAGGATGACTCACCAAAAATAAATACTCACATTTTCCTGATTCTGAAGAGTGCATCTGTGTCTCAACTATTTAAAATGTTAGTATTGTAGAATAAGTTTCACTTTAAACTACATGTTCATAAAATAACAATATATACATTTTACATACAGAGTGTACTGGTCAATGGACTCAGTGGTTTGATTATGATAACGCCGATGGTTTGGGCGATTACGAAAAAACAACCATATTTGTACAACGCCTTGGGAATTATATGTGTTCTAATCCCACTATCGTCGAAGCGCGGACCATAGATGGCGTTGCAGCAGAAGATACTGGTGAAATATTCTCGGACTATTCGCCTGAAGTGGGATTTGTTTGCCTAAATGCAGATCAACCAGATAACATATGTCTTGATTATGAAGCAAGATTCTGTTGTCCAGGTAATTATTAAAAAATACGATGTTTGAAATTTGACTAATTGTATGAAGAATCAGAAAATAGGAATTAAGCTTGTTGACGCTAAATAAAACATCCATATATTAGGCCATGGATATGCCTGAGCATGTTTTACTTGTTTATAAATTTTCGCCTATGTGTTGTATGCAAGAACAAACAAATCCCTTGATCGTGTGATAAAAACAGTCTTCCAGTGTGTATGATTATTTTTAGAAACATATTATACTCTATTTTGTTTGCTAAACACCCGAACTAACCACAGGTTTAAATAACGTATTCCAGATCTAGGAAAATTCTAAAATATGAATGAATAATCGTTGTTGGACTAAAAGAAATTTATTTACGAGTCTTGTTGATTTTAGTCGATTTAGTCTTACTTGATTTTGGTCAAAACATATATTATTTATTATAAAGTCATTATTTTCTAGTGAAATAATAAACAGATAATGTATCAACTTAACAGCATGATAAATAATATATATAAACAAAATGGTTGTTATTGTCATATATATCAAGGTATACCCTAACAATAAAACAAAAATTGTATTTGACAGTCTATACAGGTACTTTTAACATTATCTTATGTTTATCTTTATAGACGGTGGGCTAACACAATAACGGTTTCTGGAAACATAGCATATACTCGGTACAATGAGAAGCAGAAACATTGAATTCATCATATCTTTAAACTTATTATAATAAGTATAATCACCAATCTTTACAATTGTTACAAAGTATGTCGATTTATATAAGCACTACATCTAAGCTGTATTTTTCGTCAATAAAGTATGAAACAAATAAAGTGAAATACGCAATATAATAACTCCTGTGTGTTTATTTGATGAAAAAAGGAAAAAGTGTATACAATATTGTGTAGTTACCTGGAAGCGTTCTATTCAGCAGCAGACCTGATTTTTTTTTTGCTACATGTTTTAGGATAAATAGAATAATTCATTGAACAATTTGTTTCGTTCAATGTATTGAATACAGAGTATTAAAAAGGTTCAAAAGACAAATGTTGTTTGTAAAGCCCCTTGCATCTTCCGTTGTATGAATCTCTGGCAGGAATAACACTGTGTGTTTATTGTCACAATTACAAACTTATTCAGCTACTATCAGTGTAAATCAGAGCGTATGATTAACCGTAGTAAACCTTAGGAATATGAACTGATGTATCTGGTGTATTCAAAACTCAAACAATAATCTGATTCAAATCAGAATGAGAGGACTCGTAAAACAAATCTTTAAATTTCGAACAAAATATTAACCAGATTGAAATAAGTCCAACACACAGGAACATTAAAGCTAGTGAAATAAGAAATCTTGATGAAATTCTGCGAGAGTTGTCATGGCCCATTGATAGTTTCCATTACGCTTTTGCAGATGGCTTTGCGTCTATGTTTGATCCAAATGTTTATCCAGTTGTTGTTTGCACATCGCGAAAAAATCCAGATGCTCTTTCAGGCCCAAACACACGTGCTCGATCAGGCATGACTTCTGGCCTCTGCTTTTAAAACTGAATATCAGAGCAGTTAGTGAAGAACGCGGGTGGAAAGTATTGTTAACTGATGAAAGTCGTGTTGCCCTGAAGTAGTGGTTTTATAAATGCAAAAATACAGATAAACTGTGAATTATGGTTGAATTAGTATTGTTTACATAGTTACGTTAACATGATTTACACGTGCCGATATATACATTTTTTTGAAATACATTGGGACTGTGATCAAATTAGGTGAATTGGACTTTATTCTGAAGCTTAACATGCGTGCGTGATCGCACTTTTTTCATTCAATTTATTTGGCTAATCAAAAAAAATCATAAATTTCATCTATTTATTTAGTTTCAATTGCGTCATGTACTTATCGTATTACATTGACGCACTTTTTTGTAATGGCTTATCTTCAATACAGGTCTAATAATAGACATCTCTGGTAGCGTGCTTATCTTATAGGTCTTCTCCCTTCAGCTGGTCTGCTGCCACGGCGTGTGATCGCTAGGGGAAAGTATATCACCACAACTAAGGCAGTGTAGGGAATGAAATACACTGTTAACGAATACAATAAATAAAAATAACACAATATATCAGGTTTCCATAACTTTAATACATAAATAGTACAGGGTGTTAGTCACTGGAACCAGCAAGGAATGGGGATATACAGCAAACAAATAACACTTAGAACCTGATCGATGCTGCAGGGAACACTCCACTCTCCGGTGAACAGCAATGTACAATGTTGTGTTTCTTCGTATCTGGCACACTGTCGAAGCAGCTGCACTACAATTTAAACCCGTGCTCTGTGTCCAGGGAGTATCGGTAACTGCTACTACTGGTAGCACCGGTACGACGGGAGTAGTTCAGGCAGAGATTACTACACAGAACGTCTGAATAAGTATCCCTGTATAGGGTACAGCTCACTGGAGTCAGGAATCAGCATCTCAAGATGATCAAGTCAGGTCACCTTCGTGACTAAAGATTTTCACACTTGTCTCAATTTAAATACTACAACGAAATTATGGCCATGCAAATAATAAAATGTATCCAACGAAATGATTGGTTATCCCGAAATAGCGGACAAATCAGTGTATAGAGGATACCAATTTTGGTAGTGGAATAAACCACTCTTTATCCAAGCTCTACCAATTTAAAGTAGGAGACTCGGTCAATGATGTCATATTTATTTTCATTGCCAACAACACTGAGCTAGGTACATAAGTTATTTCACAATCACCACACCACTATCTGAAACATACCATTATGCAACAGGGAGAGACAGGATATTTGTATCTCAAATTCTACTGAAAACACGATCCAGTGACTGTATCAGCAGTCTGAAAATAAACATGTGCAATTGATTGTTGCAAAGTATCCAAATGTGTGTGCTCTTCATTCACACAGTCAAGGCTCTGTGCTTTTCCTTTACAATTTATGTCGCAATATAAAGCTAAACCATCGTAAGCTCATAACCATAGCATCCTCAGACTCTAATACAAAGTTCAAATATTAATTGTTTTAAGCGTTCAACTCTCACATTCAAAAAAACATAGATTGTTCGACTGTCAACAAAATCCATGCCTATATCAGTGAAGTTATATTATACCGTGATAGCTTAAAATCAACACAATTAAACAACTTGTCGATTAAAATCGGGGTAGTGAGAGTTGAGAGGTTCTATTGCCCAAAATATATTTCTCGAATTAAAATGATACCAAGCATTTGGGCTATTCAGTCGGGACATTAAACACAGACTCAAACATTAAACAACAAATCCCCTCTCTTTCTCTTCTCTCCCCTCCGTGAAGCATCTATGTTAGTATTTTGGCAACGTTGTAACTACAATATAAATTCAAAAAGGTTGATTTATGTCTGCTTTCGTACTTTGGGTTATTCTGAAACGATATTTATTTGAGATCCCGGGGCACTGAATCTAAATCTGACATTAAATTGGAAGTGCAAATACATCAGTTTCAAGGCAACATCCGTTAAACGTGCTGGAAACTGTGAATAAATTACGCCGTTGGCGCCGTCTACCAACTTGTTACATATCCTATAGATTGACGCTTAACAACAACTGGCAATAATTTCCGGATTATGTCTGGGTGTTTTCCTTCAAAATGTCATTCTACAAACGTTATATGGTATTATATAAAAAAAAATAGAAGTGTATCAATAGTAAACGTATCAGACACTAATACTCAATCATGTCAGAGAATATAGGGAGAATAACAAATGACACATGAGACAACATAATTTCCAGTTGATTAAATTTCACTGAATTCCTCAACATATTGATCGAACAATGTTAGAAAAATCGGCCAAGGCATGTCCGAAAAATGACACGAGACGTGATGAACGCAACGTCGCGCTCCCATTATTGACATAATAATATATGGTATCAATTCCAGTTCAAAATGTCTGGGAAAATGTGGAGATCTCGCAATATAAACTTTGGTTTCAGTGTAATGTTATTATGTATGTATGTTTTGGTGTACATCTTTTTACATTAACACGAATATGGCGCATTTCAGAATCAACATCGCCTCAATATTGAATAGTGTGTTTCTCAAAATAACACTGAACGCTTTATATGGTTATATAAAACCAGGGGTGGTTGGTTTCTTGAGTATTTGGCGCAGTCTACCAACTACATATCCTATAGATCGATACTTAACAACAAGTGGCAATATTTCCTGGATTGTGTCTCCATGAAACTTTTACTCTACAGCTAAGTATACAAACGTTGAATGGTATGATAACAAACAAATAGTAGTGCTCCTGTATCAAGAGTAACCAATATAGCTAGTAACTAACCTTTTTTTGCATTATACATTGGTCTATTTTTTGCTCTACTTACACCATATAATAAACAATTACCAGCTTTGCCACAACATCTGCTTTTTTTGTTTTTTAAAAGGTGAACAAACGTCAATCAGACCCAGTTGTTGAAGAAGAACAAAGTAAAGGTGTTCTGATTTCCAATTTCGTCTCGTCGTAAACAATCAATATCCGTTTTTAGTTTCCCGTCGAATAAGTACGTCATGTCATTCACCTTTTACTGTATACGCGACCCGCGACAATGCTAGAATTCTACTTAGCTCGATGGATAAAGCGAATACTGATTAAAAGTAACATAGTTTGAGTCATGCGTCTTGCTTCTATAACAAATATCTCTTTCAACGACTGTAGTGAACCACGTTCACCAAGAGAGAAACGCTGTCGCCTGAATTTGGGTTTTTGCAACAATGAAATTTACTTTAATGATAATCAGGCGGTTACGTACAAAACAAAAGTGGTACAATGTTGTTCCCGACTGTTTTGATTTTTGCATTAGAGTCCACATATTTATTGCGCTCAATTAAGATTTCTTTTCAGTACGGCCGTGTGTAGTTGGTGATCATTTTTTTGTATTGTATTTTATTCAATATCAGTATAGTAATTCTGAAAACTCGTATCAATATTGTTGAGTCGTCGACGTCTACAGTCAGATGCGAACTTTGCCGCCATTCAATGCTCTCTTGTCGTTTGCATTTCACGACATGACCTGTCAAGTTAATCGGTTAGTTTCGCTTGTCAAATTTATCTAACCACCACACCACAACAGTTGTTACCGTGTTTCCGAAAACTTACTGAATACCATCACAATTAAAACTATTCTTCTAAATGTAGCTGTTACAATGAATACATTTCTTTTTGCGTGTAATATAAGTTAGGTATAATGTTCAGTTCGAACATTCTCTCGTTGCTGACTGGTTGATAGATTTCGTTTGAGTTCCTGAAACAGTGGGTAATAATTTCTTCCGTCTATTGATATTTATGCTGAGTTGTGGGAATGCTTTCAAATATCTGTTCAAATTACTCTTAATATCACAAATATATTGGCAGATAACCGTATCATAATCATGTGTTCCTCTGCTTATCACTTCATTCCAATAGTTTATTTCGTCGCTGTCGTTGCACACGAGTGTAAAACAATCCATTAACTCTTACCTCGTTTACCCGATGGAATTTAATCTCAGTCAACGAAAATCTCTTTGTAAACACTTCGTCCCGCGCCTTATTCGCTCTGATAAATTACTGGCTTGAGATCAGATAGGACTTGGCCCTAACATTTTCCGACCATGGAAACGCCTTGGGGTCAAAATCAGACCCTCCATTACTTTCTTTAAATGCCTGTTCTTTAATGCACGAAAGTATGCAACAATAACTACAACACTTGCGTATTGCGTGTTCGATAGTGTAGCCATGAAATCTTTTAACATTGTTTGCACCATAACTCTTTATTTTCTAATGTTTTGGCAAAACCCTAATAAACATGTATGGTCTAA